GACTTTCCGGCGGATACACAAGTGCTGGAAATAGCGGCGTACTAATTGGCGGAATATGTACCGGTAACTTTATGGTGAAAATTTCACCGTTACATTACCGTCATATATTCCGCCGGCTTTTTCGTTAGTATATTAAATATTCCATATTGCTACAATAAATACTATAAATTAGCCTTAAAAAGTTTATATTTGAAGCAATTTTTTGAGAGAATCGATGAAAATTGAAATTGAAACTTTGGGAAAATATGTATAAAAATAAATTGTTTATAGACTTTTGGGGAAAGTTTTTAGAGGACAAAAAAAGATAACAACTTGGAGAAATAAGGGAGTAAAGGATTTGTCTTGGATTTCATTCTTCATTTTTTTCTCTGTTTATAACTTTTTTTAACGATTTTTCCTTTTTTAGCATATTATAAACACATTATCAATGGGATAAATGTACCCAAATATTAGATGATTGATTTATTTTAGTTTGGCCTATTGAATTTTCTATTATTCAAATTCATGCTACACATTTTAGCCCACTATAATTTGTAATGTTATGTTCCACAAATAACTACATTTGTAGGTTTCTTTGAAATTGAGAGGTGACAAATGAAGTTATTATGGTTGAAATACCATAACCAATTATAGTATATAGATAGGTGCATTTGTAGTGTGTAATATTTGATATTTATATTCTCAATATAATTTACTGCATTGAATTTATCTCAGAGATGGAGAATATTTTTGGAATTGATTATAAACATTTTGTTCTCCAAAATTAATGAAGTTAAAAATATTAGAATTGGTCTTCCTATGATGTTTTTAGGAGAGTACCTAGTTGTATTTGACTTATGTTAAGATAAAGACAGACAAAAAAAAAGGACTCGGTTATAAAGTATTAAAAATGATCTTTTTATTAGATTTAAATGAGATTTTGACTCTTAATATGACACAATGGAGAAAAAACATTCGTAGACTAATCCTCATCAAACAAATAAGTTCATACATAAGTTCATCAAACAAATAAGAGTACTAATCCTCATCCGTGTCCTCACTGTCTGGTGATGCATGTGGCTGCTCTTGCTCTTTCTTCTTTTGATTTTCATCTCTATAGGATCACAGTTTTGCCTGCATCTCATTTTAAACCTTTCTCATCTCTTCTATCTCTCTCGTCAGTGCTGCAACCCTCTGGCTTACACTTTCTTCAGCTCCACTAGGATCATAAAATACTGAGGTGGATGAACTGCCCTCGTAAGCACAGCCTTGCAAACCCAAGTCATATACCCTTCCCCTATGCCTTCCTCCAACAACATCTGACCATATATGATACTCAGAATACTGGGTCAATCCTGAAGATGATCCCTCACCAGTAGACTAACGACTTTCTCGAGCTTGTACAAAATTATCCTGTGAGAATAAATCCATAAAATATATTGATATTAGAATGAGTTTTATTATAATAAATTTATATTCTCAAACTCCCATAAATTATACTCACATGAGCTTTATTAGCCTTTTCATCAACCCACTAATGGTCAGCTTGATGTTGGTGAGTCCTCGTATGCAACTCCAGCGGTGTCGGCTCCCGCCCAAAAAACTCTTTCTGAAAATAGAATATATATATATAATAATATACATATATTTATTAAACTAATTCAAAGCTTTTACCAGTCGTCGTCTATATTCCGTATGAGGAACATATCCACCAGTATGAAGAGAGCTTCCTAAACCCCCATAATCAGATGCTCTGTTCTGCTTAACACCGGCTCATATTTTTGTGAACTTAGGGCTCGCCCAAATTCTACTCAAATCTGGCCATACCCCATCTCCAATTCATATTGGATGCTGCCTGAACTTTCTAATATTTGTGAACATGTCCATAAGACGGGTCGATCCTTTCATCTAAAAATTTGTTATGATCCTCGTTTCTATAGGATATAGTTCTTAAATAGGAGGAAATTTGATATAGAATAATGAGTGAATTTATAGTAAGAATTATTACAAGGTATTTATGTATTATTGCCCTATATTGAAATATAAATATCATATGAGCTAGACTTTCAATTCATAAGTATGAACATACTATGCCACCTCATCTAAAAGTTTACCTTACAAGATTTTTTATGTAAAAAATTAAAGTTATGGACAAATTTATCATGTAATTAATATGTTATGGAATATGTAGAATGCATGAATGTGAAATAAAGATGAGAATATGAAGAGCCATACATGGAAGAAGAAAGCAAATTTCATGTTGAAGCATGAATGAATCAACCATAAATTGATGTGGAAACTAAAGAGAGGAACAATGAAGCAGTTCTATGGATTCATGCACTTATGGCTACATGTCTCTCCTTTTAAATGTAAACGCAAAGTCTCTTTTCAAAATCTTGCCATGATATATGCATTAAAAATATTATAAATACCCCTTTAATGCTTCAAAATGAATTAATATTAAATCAAGGCTTCGTTTGGAATGATTTTTTTATTGCTTTTAAAAGCAGCTTTCTAGCACAAAAAATTAATAAAAACAATAAAAAAGCAATGGTCAAAAGTTGTCCTTAAGAAGCGTGATAGTAGATATGTTTTCTTGTTAGCAACATAATACGTTAAAACTTGGTGATGTTCATTTTTAGTGGGTTTGCTAGCTCAACTATAATCACTATCAAATCACAATCAAGCTTTCATACTTAGCCTATGTTTGGGACAGATGCATCTGTCGGTAAATCAGATTGTGAAGTTGTTGCAGAAAAAACTGAGTTCTTAAGTTGCAGTATATAAATCAATATGTTTTATTTAGGAAATATAGCTTTAGAGTTGCTATGTTGAATGCGTAAGAGAATAAATTACTTTGATACCCTTATATACATTGTGATGAAACAAATTATTTATATGACAAATTCCTTAAAATAAATATAATCACAAACTAACAATTTTAAATTAAAATCGAATAATTTTATCAAATATTTCATAAATTTTAATTATTGAATACTGGAAGTGTCAGCAATAGCTAACCACTGATAGTGGTGGCTTTAAAGATCGAAAAACTACTAAAAGTGTCCATATTAGCATGCCGAAGAAGACTGGTGTTTGTGAAAATAGCAAGATAGAAAACAATGGCAGCAGGTAAGGACTTTTTAAAAGTTTCTATGTTAAAAGGATCAAGTTAGATAAATCTCAGTTTTCCAATAATCCAGACACCAACAGCATAAGGTATTGTAATGCTGTCAAGAAGGCAAACGGGGCCTTATAATGTTACATGGTTTTTTTAGTCCTCCACCCTCTATCAATTTTGGTATTAGAGAAAATATTTTTGATTGCTTATTTCTTGTGAGTTAAGGCCTCATTTGTTTCGGCTTAGCTACGACGTTTTCGTTTCGAATTGTGGAAAATAGTTACTCCTCTACTGTTTGTTAACACGCCTTTTATTGAATACATTTTCTTGTATCTCTGTTTTTCTATTGATCAGAAAAGAAAAAAAAATGCCGCTTATCCCGTATGCTACCTTAGTTTAGAAACGAAAAACTCGATTTTACTCCCATCATGTTCACACGTCTACCGGCACTCTCTAGGATGAAAGAAGAGGTCGCAGTGAAGCTTCACCATTGCAACCTTGTCCAGATGCAGGCCTGGTGTAGGTTTGCGAAAGCATTAAAAGAATGATATAACCAAACGAGGCATCAGTTCTCTTAATTAATTTTTGATAGAACTCCGTTTCTTCGATCATTGCTTCGAAACCAGCTTATACAAAAGGAGTGCCGGAACCAAACGAGGCCTAAATTTGATGATTCTTCTTCTTATTTATCTTTCATTGCAAAATGTATGACAACTTCAGAACTTAAAAGGTCGCCAATATTGGCCATTGGAATCTAATAATTTCATAAAATAATTTGTTGAATTAGAACAAAAAGGTTTATCCTTTTCTTAAACCAAACAACCAATATTCTTAAATCCAACCACAAACGATACCTAACCTATCCACATGGCAAAAAAATAGCCAAAAGTGTGTTGGTTACGCGTGCATATATGATAAGAGTGAATTTGTTTTAACTGACCTAAATATTCAAAAAAAAAAAAAAAGCTGATAAAATAAAAAAATATCGCAAAAAAATATTTTTTTTTGAACAAATATTTATTTTTACCACCATCTATTTTATTCATGGAAGCCCGAAAATCGCTCTTCAATTCTTAAACATTTATTTAATTCTCTCTTAGTTTTTTTTTCTCTAAAAAAATTATTTTTGATTTATTTTAAAAGTCGCTACACTTTTAAGTTTTGTTTGGGACAGCTTTTTCACTACTTTCCAAATATCTTTCTAGTAGAAAAATTTATAATTCAATAAATTTTGTAATTAAAAAGCAGTTTTAAAAAGTATTAAAAAAGCTATCTCAAACAAAACCTTAGTCATATAAGTAAGTCAAGCCGGCTCTGATTCGGCTTGATAAATGATCGTGAATTGAACTAATGAGCTAACAAGTCAAATTTGAGTCAACTTCAACTCGACTCGACTTATTAACTCATTAGTCATTCATAAAAAAATTTATTAATATAAATATATTATTATTTACGAGAAAATACATAGTTGCTAAAAGTATTAAAATAACATCTCACTTTCTTATATTATGTATTTCTTTAATATATTTCTTATATTTTTTAATTCATCTTATTATTTATTATAATAATTATTTGAATTATAATTCTTTTATTTTCTTTTGAGTCCGAATCACGAAGCAAAGTTTGGAAGGTTTTTGACCGTCAGTAAATAAACTGATCGTCAGGGACAAAAGCAAACCAACGGGCTGCTTCTTCTCTATCCTCGCCTGGTTGGATTCGGCCGTTCGGTTAAATCGTGTGGAAGTGGGGTTGACCCTTACCGTTTTCTAGATCAGATATAAAAGGAAACAATTAATCAAAATTATTATTTTTAGAAAAAAAACGAAGAGATAATTAAATAAAAGATTTAAGAATTGGAGAGGGATGTTCGGGCTTCCATGAATAAAATAGATGGTGAGAAAATTCAGTATTTGTTTCAAAAAAAATTTTTTTTTTCTGCAAAATCTTTTTCTTTTATCTCCTTGCTTTTAAGGTATCTTTTTAGGGCTACGTTTGCTTTCATCCATCAAATTAAATGCCTCACAAGCCATTGGTAATTCTACGTCCCTGCAATACGTGATAACGGTATATTGGGTCTTTCTCTGCTTGCTTTCTTCTAGCATCTCCATTGATGAAAAATCTTTCATTTTCTTATAATTTGTCCTTTTGTTTATCTTTTTGGCTAGATTTTTTGCATGTTTTTCTGACTATGTGGACAGGTTAGTTGCAGTTTGGGGTTGGATTTAAGAATATTGGTTGTTTGGTTCTGGAAAAGCATAAACTTTTTTGTTTCAATTCAAGAGATTTGTTCCCTGGAAGTGCTAGGGTTGGGGATTCCTGGTTGGTGGGATCTGTTGATCTTTAATGCTCAGGTTTTGGTAGGAGATTGATTGAGATGAGTTGGGATTTGGATATTGGGAATGAAATTAGGTTATTAAAGCCCTAATCATGGCATTGTTCTGGTTCTGATAGATTTGAAGAAGGGTTTTGATTATATGTTGGTTGATTTCGTCTGGTGAGGCTTTTTAAGGGATTTCATTGTCTGGGTTGGTAGTCCTTTCTGATCTATGGAATAGCTTTGATTAAGGTTAGGTTTCTTTTCTAGAATTTTGCACAAAGAGGTTTTATTAGTCAATTTTATATTCTCTGGTTGTATTTTTTTTTTAATTGTTCTATTTCTTTGTGTGTTTTGAAGATATTTCTCTTGGTTGAAGCAGATCTAACTTAGATATCCATAATGTTAGATCCATAGATATCCATCTCTTGTTCCTGCAGATTTTGGCTTATATCTAATGCTTGTTATGCATTACTTTATATGTATAATTAAACATCATTAGGAAGTAATTGTTTTTTTTTTCTGCTAGAGACATTAAATTGTATGCTTTTGAATCAGTTTGATAGATTTTTGGAGGAACCTTTTGTAAGAATCAGACATTTGCAGTTATTAATAAATAGCTAATTTTACTAAATATTATTACTCACTATCGATTTATTATCCTGTTGTCAAAAAGGGGGAGAGAGACTCAGGGTTTGGAGATTGTTTGAGGGTGAGAAAAGGGTAGCATTTTCAAGTTTTGTTTTGAAAACAGGAATGAAATAAGAGGAAAATGTATATTACCTAAATCAGTTGAATTTTACTTAAGGAGAAATTGTCTTGCTCTTATATCTGTTGATCGTTTTGAAGGAAAAATGTATAGACTCTTGTGAACCATGATACACTTGGTTATTTAATTATTTCTAGTTATTAACAAAGTAAACAAACTCGTCAAGGAGCCTTGATGGCTGAGCAAGATGATGGATTTAAGAATCTTATTATGTTAGTTGTCCCAAGCTGTTGCTCTGATGATATACACACTTTTTTTTTTAATGGTGGAGTTTGAGGGTTATAATCTCTTGTCAAATCCTGTTTTTTGTGGAAAAGAAGAAACACTTGTGTTATGTATGGTATAATTCTCTAGTTTGTATATATATATATATATATATATATTACTTTGATTACATTGCTTTGGCTGTGGGGCTTAAGAAATTATTATGGGAAGCATATTTGTTTAAATATGCATCTATATAAAAAATTAGTGTTAGTTATTTTAAATATATATTTATTACTTTCTTTTACAAAGGATATTCAAAATGAGGTACCTAAATTTTGCAAATGACATAATTATATTTAATGAAACATCAGGTGAAATAAGTGTAATAGTAGATTGAGAGAAACTATGTGAAAAATAGAATATGTTTGAATTAGTGATTCTCAACATGAATGAAGGAATGAGGATTTTTATAACCTGCTTCAAATGATGATGATGAATTAAACGTAAATTCTATAAAATTGTACTTTGGTCGGTTATATTGCATGTAATTGATTGTCTGATGATAAAGAAAGCATTGATAGTCTAATTGAGAGTGGTGAAAGTGTGATATTATAATAGATGTGTAGCAAAACTAGTATAGATAAATTAAGAAGTAATTATACTAGTTAGATGTTGGGAGTAGCATTTATTGAACATAAAATAATGAAGAATAGACTTCGGTGTTTTGAACATGAAAAATAAAAATACATCAGTAAGATGAATAAATATTGTTGATGTCATCTGATTATGAAGATAAAGGATAGGCTAAATGTGATATGGATAGAACTTGTTCAATAAGACTTATGCAAAATAGATTGGCACCTCAACCTAAATGATTGGGGAATGAGGATTCATCAAGTTGTCTCTGAATAAAAGATTAAGCACGTAGACCTTAATAATTGGAGCATAAGGATTCGTCGAGGTGGTTCCTAATATCTGGCATAAGGCTAATGATGATTATCATACTCATGAATTTACTCTGTTAACAATAGATGAGTGCTTAATAAGATAGTCTAATGATGGTTACCGAACATTCTATTTTTTAATTCGAGAAAAATCGATGATTGATGAAAACGAAGAGAACATTTTTGTATGTGGCTTTGAAGCACCTCAATTGCATGTTCAAGTTGGTATATGTATTGAGACAAATATAATAATATCTCATTGACAAATATAATAAAATGATCAAGCGTAATATGTATAATTTATAATGCTAGAAGTTGAACATCTTGTAGCTAAATCAAACATAAAGATTAAATTTAAAATAAACCTGTCAAACCAAACTTGTTAATAATTTTATGAAGTGTTATAGATGCTTTAATTATCCTTCAATTTAGAACAAATCTGTAAAACCAAGCCAGACCAAAGCGTTGAAAAATATTTATAACCATAGTAAATCAAGCTGGCTGAATCAAATTATAACCAACAAAGCAATTTCTAAAGATTTATTTTAAACCGAAAATAAAAATAGACCATTCGGATTGGTTTTGTTGTATTGATGGCTTGATTTGGTTTCAGATTTTATTAAACTGTTTGGTTTGGTCTGAGTTTAAATATTTATTTGTTTGGAACTAAACTGAATCGTTAATGGTGAACCTCTACTGGTTATTTCTCAATTTGTGCACTTCATTATGATTACCCTACTTCTGTCTTTGTAACTTTTCCGCAAACCTCTTACTGCTTTTGTTTATTTCACAGAATTCCATACTATATACACTTCTTTTCCTTTATATGAAGAGTTCACAGCCTTCATGTTAGTAATTTTTATTTCTTCTGCAGACATGCTCCAAACTGTACAGCAAACAGCTCAAGTATAGGAAGTCTAGAAGTTGTTTTGCATAATATGGTTTGTGACTTCAGGCAGGATCCGGAGGATGCTGCGGTCAACTCTGGTCATTGTATGGAAGATACTGTGACTCCACCAATGCAAATTGATAGTGATGGTGGTAACAGTCTCCTTAGAGTTAAACGCTCCCTGAGGAGGAGGAATGGAGTTGATTATTGTGTGTTTGAGTATAGCTCTGAGGAGGAATTAGATAATGCAAAGCCAATGAAGGTATAAGTTTGTCCTTCATGATACTTTTGAACCTCAATTACTTTCAATGTTTTGATATGAAACAACCTTTTTCGCATACCATGAATATTTTTGCATTATACTAATCCCATGCAACTGCTTGCCTAGTTGAGCTTTAGACAATTAAATTGAGATAGGGGTGCAAACGAGTTGAGTCGAGTCGAGTTTAGGCCCTTATCGAGCTTGGCTCGTTAGTTGGAAAACGAGCTCGAGCTCGTCTCACTGTAAATGAGCTCAAGCCATGGGCGGGAATTTAAAAATTTAGGCTGGATTTTTAAAAATTAGACAGGATTTTGAAAACGTAAGAGGGATTTTTAAAACTTAATCAAAATAAAAAAAAATGAAATGTTTAACATGTAAATAAAACATAGGTTGTTTTTATTAATTTTTTTAGTATTTAAATTTAATAAATAAAATAAAATTATTTAAAAAAATATTAATATTTATTCGAGCTGGCTCGTGAGCTCACGAGCCGAGCCAGCTCCAGCTCGAACTCGAGTTCTAGCTCGACTCGTGAGCTCGATAAGCTCGGCTCACGAGCCCATAAACGAGTCGAGCTCGAGCCGGCTCACGAGCCGGCTCGGCTCACTTACACCCCTAAATTGAGACATGCTAAGAGTCGCCTCAAAAGTGAGTTAAACTCCCATACTTTCAACTTTAGTCAGTGATAAAATAATTTAGTAGGATTTGGTTGGCTTCCCTGTTATGGCCTCAAGTTATTTTACTAACATCCAAAGGATATTTGGCTGCCATGGGTGGTTGTTATTGTTGATCTTTGTTATACTTAAGCAAGCCCAAAGTTCTCCCGTAATTGTCTCCCATGGATGTATAACTTTGGCCGTTCCTATATGGGTTGTGTGTTGCAGTGGTGGTCATTTAAGATTCTATAAGATATTATTAACTAAAGAAGTGTATGACAATTGCAGCAAGAAGTCCTATCTGTTTTTGGGAAGAGGCTTAGACCTTCTCTTGAATATCTCATGCACGTGATATTGTGGTATCATTTTTATGACCATGTGGGTGGACATTTTCTCGTGCAGTTTAAATATTTTTGTTCAACACTGTGTGGCATAGCTATGCTGATTCCTTTATGTCTGGAGGCCTACAATGCGGTCACGTAAGGTTATATATATTTGTATATATTATTATTTAGAGAAGTGCACAATAATTAAAAGAACAAGTCCGATCAGGTTTAGGGAAGGGGTACATCTAGGTGGAAATCTTTCATCATGGTTTAATCTCCTTGTTTTATGATAGTTTCCATGAATTAATAAAGCTATGTTGAGTTTTCTATTACACTGAAATTAAATTTGTTTACTACCAAATAAATATAATGATTTTGTCTTGCTTTCAGGCTCGCCAATCAAAATATTCTCAACAAGTCAATGATATTCGAGGAAGTACAGTTAGTTCTGACTCTCAGGAGGTTAATACTCTTAAAAACTACAATGTATGCTTCTTTTCATCCATCTTGTGTGTCATTCTAAAAAATGGGGATTACTAAACAGGTAACGGCTAGGTGGTGTCCCAAAGAATCTTGTAGGCCTATTATGGATGAAGCTCCCGTGTTCTATCCTAGTGAGGAGGTATGCTGGAGGGTTATTTCAACTTAGATCTGCTTTAGAAACCTCACATTTGTGTTTCTTTCAGGAGTTTAGAGATACACTTGGTTACATTGCTAGTATAAGCTCTAAAGCTGGAAAATATGGCATTTGCCGCATAGTTCCACCACCTTCTTGGAAGCCACCTTGCCCACTTAGAGATAAGAATATTTGGGAGCAGTCGGAGTTTTCAACTAGGATTCAACAAGTTGATAAGCTTCAAAATAGGGAACCAATGAGGAAAAGATATAGGAATCGTTACCAAAGGAAAAGGAAGAGAAGAAAGCGCTTAAGATTTGGAATGACCCGTAGACGTAACAACTGCACCATTGCCGAAACCAATGATTACTCTTCAGACACAGAAGAAAAATTTGGCTTTCAATCTGGTTCGGATTTTACACTTCAGACCTTCCAGGTGTATGCTGAGGATTTTAAGGAACAATATTTTGGTATGAGATATGCAAAGGACAGTAAATCATGTGGTAAGGATGAAACTGGTGAGAGATGGCAACCTTCTGTGGAGGAAATTGAGGGGGAATATTGGCGGATTGTTGAGAGTCCTGATGATGAAGTTGAGGTAAGTTAGTGGATTCTCTTTTGAATTCTTGTTTAACGTTTCTTTTTTACATAATCATCTTATTTCTCATCAAATTCAGGTACTATATGGTGCTGATTTAGAAACTGGGAAGTTTGGCAGTGGGTTTCCAAAAGCAAACTCTGCAACGTCTAAGGACTTAGATCCACATGTCTACTCTGGATGGAACTTAAACAATTTTCCCAGGCTACCTGGGTCAGTTCTTTCTTTTGAAAGTGGGGATATTTCTGGGGTACTAGTGCCTTGGCTATATATTGGGATGTGCTTTTCATCATTTTGTTGGGTGAGTTTTTTTTTTCTTCTTTTTAGTTTCAGTACTTAACCATTTTCTTGTACATAACCAGTGGCGTGAACAATAATTAATGTTCTTCATGTGGTTCTTTTGATTGGAGAAAATATAGAGTTTGATTTAGGCTTCGTTTGGGATGGCTTTCTTATTATTTTTTTTTTTACTAAAAAGTTGCTTTAAGAAGTAGTAAGAAAGTCATCCCAAACGAAGCATTAGTATCTTATATTTGAAAGGTGCTTTGCTTTGAACTTTCCACTGCTTAACGAGCTACTTAAACTGTACATTTTATTGCTGTATCCTTTATATAATAATAAAATCTGGAGTTTGAGTTAGTATTTCTAATATCTGTTTAGGGATCATTTTGTTCCTTGCAGATGGAAAACATGTTTTAGAAAATTACTAATTCATTTTCAAGTATTTTATATATGAACAAAATCATTACATTTGAGGTGGGTTTGAGAGCGTTTGCAGGGCTTAAAATCAATGATGATTTCTAGTTGCATCCAACCAAATCATGGATATATCAAATTTCATGATATTTCAAAACACGTTTTCTAACTTCCAAATGTGCCCTTAGCGATCGTTGTACTAATTCAGAAGGCAAATGTAAAGTTTCATCAAATTCCCTTTCCTTTTTAGAGAATCAGAATTAGATTGTGCTTCTAATTAAGATAGCCATATATACTTTTTGTATTTTGTTTTTTGGTTGCTCTGTCTGCTTCAAATTTAATGCAAATATCATTTCATTCTTTTAAGCTCATCAACATTGCTTGTCTGACTGTTCTTTATACGAACATATTATGTTTGATCTTAAAGCATGTTGAAGACCACCACCTGTATTCACTGAACTACATGCATTGGGGTGATCCAAAAATTTGGTATGGAGTTCCTGGAAATGCTGCTGTGAAATTGGAAGAGGCCATGAGGAAGCATTTACCAGAACTATTTGAGGAACAACCTGATTTGCTGCATGAATTGGTGAGTGCGAAAACTGTTTTTTTTTTTTCTCTTTTACAATTCTATGAGTTTACAATTGTACAACTACTTAATACTAAAGTGCTTATCAAAAGTTTACACAGGTTTGTAATATTTGAAATTGATACTGCAAATCTTATATTTAGGCTTCCATCCTGCTTAATTATTTTTTAGCCTTAATGGATTTTTATCTTTCTGCTCTTTTTTCCAATTTTGTAACCTCTCCAACAACAACAACAATAACATCAAGCCTTTATCCCACTACATGGGGTTGGCTACATGAATCTTTTTTCTCCATTGTGTTCTATTATGACTCAAATTCTCATTTTAATCTAATAATAATAGAAAAGATAATTTCTAATACTTTAACCAAGTCTTTTTAGGTCTAGCCCTACCTTTTTTAATATATACCGAATCTAATACGTCTACTATCCTAACCGGGTCATCTAAAGGCCGATGTTTTATGTGACTAGACTATCTAAGGCGACTCTCTCTCATCTTATTTTCCACTGGAACTACTCTAACCTTTTCATGTATATACTCATTTTACATTCTGTCTTTAAGTTTAAAACTACTCAAATATCTAAGTATCCTCCTCTCTGCAACTTGTTTTTATATTTGCTTACAATTTGAAAATGTTTATGCTTTTCATTTTTAAATTGATCTTTTGGCCTGAAGTCTTCCAAACGCATGGAAATAATACAAGTCAATGTTCTTGAAGCATGTTGTTGAAATCAAAAACTTAGATTTATTGTGAATATACTAGTGTTCAAATTATGAAGTCATTATTTTAAGAACTGAATGCAAATTTCTCTGCTAACTAAGAAAGAGTAAAATGCATGGTGATAATGAAAATATATCAACTTAAGTAAGGGTTTACTGGCATGTGGCTTTCTGCTTGCCGTTAGTAAACCATCTTGATCAAGCAGTTCAGTTCATGAAGCAAAATTTTTCCCAACATCAATTTAGAGCCATAACTTGGTTAAGTAAGCCTTTTTAAGGACTAGTCAAAAGTAGAGGCAACGGATACAATACTAAGCAGAAATGACTGAAGAAGGAAGATTCCAAACCCAAATGGTTGGAGTAAAGCTAATTATAACACAATTACTAGATCCTCATTGCAGGTCTTTTGTGGCCATTTCAGAAATGATAAACATCTGCTGTAGCATCTGTCAGCATTCCATTTTTAAACGGTGGCTTATGACTATGCCTTTCTTTTTCTGACAAAATCTCTCGATGGTTTTTCAGGTTACACAGTTGTCTCCTTCAGTTCTAAAGTCTGAGGGTGTTCCAGTTTACCGTGCTATCCAGAAAGCAGGGGAGTTTGTCCTCACCTTCCCTAGGGCTTACCATTCCGGCTTCAATTGTGGATTCAACTGTGCAGAAGCAGTGAATGTTGCTCCCATGGACTGGTTATCTCATGGTCAGTGTGCGGTTGAGCTTTATAGCGAACAGCGCCGCAAGACATCCATTTCCCATGACAAGTTATTAATGGGTGCTGCAAGAGAAGCTGTCAGAGCTCTCTGGGAGATTTTTCTGTTAGGATCTGACAAACCCAGTAACTTAAAATGGCAGCGTGTTTGCGGAAAGGAAGGGACATTGACGAAGGCTATACTGGTTTGTGTTTAATTCTTTTGCAATATTATCAGTATCTTCACATGATGTATTCATTCAAACCTTCATGTCTTGTTTTCAGGAAAGAATAGAAATGGAACAGGAACGAAGAGATTCTCATTGTGATCCTACAAAAGCAAGGAAAATGGATAGTATCTTTGATTTGTCAAAGGAGAGAGAATGTTTTTTCTGTTTTTATGATCTTCACCTATCTGCTGCTGGCTGTGAATGCTCATTGGATCGTTATGCCTGCTTAAACCATGCAGAGCTTCTTTGTTCTTGTGAACCCAACCAAAAATTTTTCCTTTTTCGCTACACTATGGATCAGTTGAACACTCTAGTTCAAGCTTTAGAAGGGTATGCAAGTGCAGTGCAAGATTGGGGTTCATATGATCTGGGATTGGTTTCACCTAATATTGTAATGAATGAAGATTCAGAAAGCTTAAAACTGATAGGTGAATCTGATTCCGAGGTACCATTGCAGAGAAGTACATCCACTTCAATGAAAGGATTGGTAGATATCAACGTTGCTAGTGTTGAGATCTTTAGTCTGAAGAGTGGAGGGCATTCATGTGGAGCTACTGATCGTCCTAGTGAGATCAATAGTATGGCATGCTCACAACATATGGAAGCAGTTTTTGATATTAGTAGGCCGAGCTTGCCTACAAATAACTGTGATATAGAAGCCAATGCAAGTTTGCAGAAGCCAGAAACATCTTGCACAACTCGTGTAAAAACAGAATTGGAAAGTGATAACTTGAATAGAGGCACCTCCCATATTAATCTTGACTTAGCAACTCCACAATATACTGAAAATATGCGCCACGGTATTGCTTTCAAGGAAAATAAAATCTTTTCTGATGATGATAATGTATGGGAAGAGGAGCCAAAGTGGTTTTTGGACCTCAGCAAGAAAAACTTAACCAAAGATTATAAGAATGAAATTCAAGACTGGCCTTATAGAAATGGCGAGAAAATTAAAAGCATTAAGGAGGAATATTGTACTTCGACTGCAGTAGAACAGGATATGGAGCATGATTCCATAGCAACATCCAGTACACCATTGAGGTCAAGCCCTGGAGGTGGATCTTCAGTTCCCCTTGGCAATTCTTTTGAGTTTTTTCCTTCCTCTCCTTTTCAAAGCAAATGGAGGCATGAAGCTTCTCCTTCTAAAGGTAGTCAGTCTTCGGCAAAGTTGTTTGGCATTGAACTTCAGCCACATGAACCACATCTTCTATTAAATTCAAATTCTGAAGGCAACCGGCCTTTCAACAGCAGCTCAACCAATTCCACTGGGTTGAGTTCATCTAATGCTGAAAGGGAGAAGCATTTAACCAAATCCAAGTACTTTGTTGAGGCACTTCATCTTGGAACTGTAATGTTTGGAAGACACTGGTGTAATGCAAAAGCCATCTTCCCAAAAGGTATAATCCAAAATTCATTTGCAGTCCATTGTATTTTGCAGAATACTCTTTTTTATTAGAATGAGTTTTGTTTCAATGGCTCTTCAGGATTCCGAAGTCGTGTCAGGTACTTCAGTGTGCTTGATCCAACAACAACTTGCAATTACATATCCGAAGTACTAGATGCTGGACTTATAGGCCCTTTATTTAAGGTAGATTTTTGGGTACCTTAGTTGTCTTCTCGAGTTGTATAATTTATCCACTTCTATGTCTTTCTTTCCCACTACACACAAAAATATTCTATACTGAATCTTGCCCCATTTCTTTTGGTGTGTTGGGGCTTCTCTTCAATCTTCATTATGAAGGAGGCAAGTTGAGAGAATTCGGCAAAAATCATAGTAATATGTTTGAAAGTAAAGCTATGCAGGCCTTTTTGTTGTATTTTCTATCATTCATTCATTTGCTTGATGATTAAATAAAAGGGATCATCTTCATTATTATCCTTATACTAATTATTATGGATTTAATTTATGATTTCTGATTGATTATTCTCTATTCATTCTTATTGATTGTTGAATGATGGTTAGCCTCTATTTTGCACAAATCAAGCTTTTATTCATGTTAATTTTGCTGTACCTTTTCTTTTCTTAGTTTTCCACTATACTCGTTTTGCTCTGTTCGTTTTACATCTTCGACCATCCATTTTATATGATCAGATCATCAAACAACGTAAATCTATTTTTCAGTTTTTTATCGTGGAATGCACTCATAATGCCTTTGATATGACGAGCTCAATCTTTCTCCTTCCTAGTATGCCACAACTATATCTTAATACTCTGTTTCCTCCACACTCCAGTATTGGTGATAAAAACATGTGTACATTGAGTGGAAATGATATTTACCATGAATAATTTTTGTATCATTTTCATCCATTTATTATGTAAGAATAATTTTTTTCAGTTAAACTATGAGTTATTGTTTGTCTTTTTGCCAGTAAAAAAACTTCAATGGTCACCTCAAATAAATTTGAGCCTTTTTTTTTATTCATTAGATGCAATTTTGGTTCATGTAAGTCTCCTTTTTTTTTTCTTTATGTTGTAACATTACCTGGGCAGTTCTACGATGAAAGCAATATATTTGTTGAGAGGTTTGATAGAGTAGTATAGATAGAGTAAGGAGGATCTACATATGATATTTAGTGATTTAGAAAAAGCATATGATAAAGTTTCAAGAGTAGTACTTTGGAGAGTTCTAAAAAAGAAAAGAGTTAATAATGCTTATATTCAAGTAATGAAGGATATGTATGTTATAGCTATTGGTTGTGTTCAAATATAGGGTGGTTTGACTAAGTATTTTCTTATTTCAGTTGGATTACATCAAGGATCAGCTTTAAGCCCATAACTTTTTGCTTTACATGGATGTTCATACTAGATATTTTTAAGAGGATGTATCTTGGTGTATGTTTTTTGCTGATGATATTCTTCTTGTTGATAAGAATAGAGAGCAACTTGAAGTATGGAGATTAACTTTAGAGTCTAGAGATTTTCGTTTGAGTAGATCTAAAACCGAATAAACAAAGTGTAATTTTAATAGCAATAGATCTAATGGTGGGATTGTGATACTGGATGATCTAGTTATACAAAAGTGTGCACGTTTTAGATATCTCGGGTTTATTGTTCAAAGTGATGGTGAAATAGATGGGTATATTATTAGTAGAATTCAAGTTAGATGGTTGAAATGGAGGAATGTTTAATTCGAGCTTTTTCTGTAAAGAAAAGTTTCCCTCAAACTTACAAGAAAATTTTATAAGATGGTGATGAGACTTGCAATCTTTATGACACAGAATGATGTCCATTAAAAGAGAAGCATAAAATTAACCTATATTTTGCAGAGATAAGAATACTCAAGTGGTTGAGTGGCTTTACATTTAGTGATAGAATGCAAAATGAGTGTCTATTGAAAAGTTTGTAGTAGCTCTGGTGACAGATAAGATTAGAGAGAGTCGTGTTAGATGGTTTGGTCACATAGAACGTCAACCTTTTAATAACCCGGTTAGGATAGTAGGTATATTAGATCTGGCCTATGTTAAGAAAAATTGAGGTAAACTTAAAAAGACATTGTTAGAAAGTATTAGAATTATATTTTTTATCAGATTTAAATGATAATTTGATTCTTAATAAGACATAATGGAGAAAAAAGATTCATGTAACTGACCCCATGTAGTGGGATAAAGGCTTGTTTTATTTTGTTATGTTGTTGTTGTAACATTTGTCATGTTAAGCACCAAATAATTGGGAGAAGTTTAATTATGGATATGTTATTCATTTAATGCACTAAAATATTTACTTGTCCATGTTCTTCAGCTCTCTGATGGTTGTTGTTCTGGTCACAAGTTTAGTTAAGAAAACTGATTTATATTATTTTTTAATTCACATGTATATGATATTAATATGTTACATAGTAATTTTTCGATATCTCAAGACATGCATTTCCTTTTTCTTTAGATATAAGGCTGTTTTTACCACATCTTAGATATATATAGCAAATCTCTGTTCAACAAATATTTCGGGTTTTGTTATCAAAAGTTTATCCCTTGCTTTTTTTGTCATCTTTTGCCCTCTTTCTATGGCCCTTCCTGGAGAAATCCATCATAAAATAGTCAGTCTTTTATTATAACAGACAATGAAATCGTTTTTTTTATTGTTCAGTTTTATTAATTTTTGGTGTGTTCTACTTTCTTAGCAACATCCCTGACCTGCAGGTTACCTTGGAAGATAATCCAGAAGATACTTTTATTCATTCTTCTCCCTCGCAATGCTGGGATTTGATTAGAGAGAGACTAAACCAAGAGATCATAAAGCAGTGCAGCTTAATGAACCAAGAACTCCCTCCCCTTCAACCTCCTGGGAGCATCGATGGGCTCGAAATGTTTGGTTTTCTGTCCCCATCAATATATCAGGTATGCTTTGATCCTATGCGGCAACCATTTAGGCAACTATTTAGCTAAATTCATGGAACCACAGCTTTGATCTGGCTATTGATTCTATCTCAACCTTCTGAATTGCTTAGAGTTTTAGGCTTCGTTTGATTAAACTTAATTTTTCTGTTTTTAGTTTCTAGAATTCGAAATCAGTTACTTTTAAATGTTTGGAAGAACAACTTTTATATAATTCATTTTCACGTAACTCTCTTTTTTTGTCGGTTATAAAAATTATTTGATTTATGTTTATTCAGTTTCAGAACTTTTATTTGGTCAGGTGAACGTACGCAACTCTACGCTCGGCCGCCAGTAGAATCGCGCCACGCGTTTTCATTATTTACCGCGCGCCCTGACAATCCGACCCGGAACGGACCCAAGATTGCTCGGTATTGCTAGGTATTGGTTGATTTTGCTCGGCAATAACCAATACCGAGCAAATACTTAGCAATACCGAGCAAATACCGAGTTGTACCGAGTTTTTTCTAGCAATACCGTGCAAATACCGAGTTGTAGAAAACTCGGTACAACTCGGTATTTGCATGGTATTGGTCTTCACAGAGCGGTATTTCTCGTTTTTGCAAAGCAATACCTAGCAGTACCGAGCAAATACCGAGCAATACCGAGAAAATCGCGAACATAGCATTCCCGGTTCCGCTCCGGGTCAAGTCGTCGGGCCGCGCGGTAAAGAGTAAGAGCACATTGCGACATGTTATTGGCGGCCGAACGTAACTCTACGTCCGGTCAGAGGACGTAATAATTGTTCTTCTCAGTTTCAAACTCAGTTTCTAAAAATAAGCACTTAAAAAAATGTTACTCAAACAAAATTTCATAATTAAAACTCTGTTTTAGTAAACCTCTTTTTCTCAACATCCGCTTCTAAAACTTCATTTTAAATAAGCAACAACCCAACCAAACAAAGCCTTAGTAGGAAGGAAAATATATATACAAGTAATTTGCTTTTTCTTATTACACGACTAAATTCTGACCCAAAATAAACTGTACACAGTTTATTGAATGCCTCGATCCTCATCGTCGCTGCTCGGAGTACTGGGCATCCAAGTCGAGTTCATCAACAAAAATTGAAGCCAATATGAACTCTACCCTGAAATCTATGAAGAAAAAACCAACTGGATTTGGATTTGGATCAACAAATTACTCTTCGCAACCAAATGCTTCAGCAGAAACACAAGGAAAGTTTTTTGGCATTGACATTTGCACATTAGAACCCGTTGATTCAATTTCAGACGATAAGATCCAGCATGTCCTGAGGTCAATCTTTCGTAGATTAAACCCAGAAGAACTTCAGGTGATGCAAATGGTTTTCAGAAGCGGTTCAGAAAGTGATTCCTGGAGAGCAGCTTACAGAGCTCTTCTATATGAGATTGAGATGAATGTAGATAATTAATTGTTCTTCTTAGAATAAATTTCATTTCCTAAAGGATGATTAGCTACAGATGAGACATCATTGCCAACAGAGCCACCATTCTTTCTTCAACAGCTAACAAAACTACATAGTTTTCCTCATACAATCTCTTGAGGATTGCAATTCTGTTTGTTCTTTCTGTGCTACAATGGAGTCTAAGGGAAGCCTGTGTTTGAAGATGGTTCTTCCTACATTTGAATATCTGTTATATTTTGTAATTGAATCTCTAGCATTGGCTCTGTTGGATATTTTTGGAGCTTTAATCATGCCTCTTTGGCAATGAGATTATTTAATGTTTTAGTGTAGGTAAAATACATAATTGTTTCCTTGGAGCTTCATAAATATTTGAATATAAGATTATTTGAACAACTGAGTTGGTACAAATATCTTCTTTCCTATAAGCTCTTTGTGTGAATCTTCCAGGTCTTCATTCTTCTATTTCTTGCAGCTTGAAACAGAAGAAAGATCTTTCTTATTATGAGTTCTTTTAGGAGTTTTTTCTCTCATTAAACTCTATTGGGGCTTTAAACAGCTCTACAAAGTTGTTTGAGCATGGGAAACTTGTTATTTATAGTTGTATGCCCCAATGTAGTATTAGGCTCTTCAATGCCCCTTTTTTGGGGAAATTATTCTGTGGTCACCGGACTGTCCGAAGGCTAGTTAGGATGCCTTGTCACTTGATATACAGCACTGGTACATAGCAAAAAAGTGACGTGGTGCGTCCTGATTTATCTACGGATGTTGTCCAGTGACCGCACAGAATAATTTCTCCTTTTTTTGACAGCTTTCTGCCATTTTTTTGGGGCTGAGGGAGCGCTTGAATTTAGGCCATTAAGATTCTTCAAATTATTTACAATCAATTTGATACAAATTTGAGCCATTTTGACTAAAATTAGTGAGTATGTTGCTATGATCTCATCTCAATTCTTTAATCTTGGTTCAAGGTTATTTGAAAATTATTTAAATTTTAATTAATATTCAATCTATTTAAATGTTTAATTATTTAAAACTTTAATTAAATTTTAAAATTATTATTTTATTTTTTAGATTGCAATCATAAATTTTATTTAACATTATTTTTTTATCTTTCGGAAATTATTTGTGACTTTTTAAAAAGATTATTTTCTCCACGTAGTTTTATAACTGTGTTTAATCATTTATAAAGGAATTTTTAGAAAAATTTTGTTCAACAAGAAATTAATTAAAATTTAAATAGTTTTTAAATTTGGAGCTAAATTCATAACCTACTGAGAGATTTTCAAGTTGTATTTTAGTGAGGAAATTTTAATTATTATTTTTAATGATATTCCTGTTATTATATTTTTATATTTTAATATGATGATGCATAGACAGGGTTATATAATAAAGTTGTTTTAAAAAAAAAATGATTTTATTTTGGAAATAAAATTATTAATTTTGAAAATTTTTTTAGAAAATTTATGAATTTTAAAATTAATATTAATATCTAATTATATTTCATTAAATGATAAATTCAATATCTAATTATATTCAAATGAAATATTACACGATTTTTGATAAAAAAGGGAAAAATATTCCATTCATGCTATTACAAAAGAAAGCTCATTGTACATGAATGTATTTGTGAAGTTAAGCATTCTTATTTATAATAATATTACTGTTGCGTGCTAGAAAATACGCGGTGGTAGAGTTTGTAAATTCGGGTCCGAGCGTTGTACGAGTATTCAACACAAACAGAAAAGAGAATATGAACACCAGAATTTTTACGTGGAAAACCCAAAAAGGGAAAAAACCACGGAGCCTTGCCCAGTTGAAAATTTTCAGTAGTGTTTTGCAAATTACAAATGACTGATTCGTCCCACAAGTCGGGGAAATCAGATTACAATTCGTTTCTTCAAGCAAGTTTACAAATTTCTGCAGAATCCCGTCGTTTCCCGAAAATCCGACAGAGTTCCGACGTATTCAGGCAGCAGGAAGAGCTCCGGCGGTGGTCGAGGAGGAGAGGATTCTCCTTTTCCTCTTTCTCCTCTTCTTCTCTTCTTCTTCTCTCTCCTCACTTGAGTTCCCCTTGTGAAGAATGAGGGCTCTATTTATAGTTTTTTATGGAGTGAAATACCCCGTAAATAGGTGTGAGATCAGGGGCGAATTGGGAGTGGTTTGAATGGATGACCGATATTGAATCCTTTGATCATGCACCGTTCGTTGGACATTTGAAGGCCTTATTGATGTCAGAATTTGGCCATCTTAGGCTCGTTGGATTCGTCTCGTCGAGCCACTCGATTCGAGTATAAGCTCGTTAAAATCGGAGACCGTTTGGTAACGTAATTTGCGGTTTAAACCTTCCAACAGCGCTTCGGGTCCTTGATTCGGACCTATTTGGGCTCGGATTGGGTCGAATTTGGTGTCGTTGGGTTTGTAATTCCGAGATGCTCAGTTTGACTATAAGCTCGCTGAAATCGGAGTTCGAATGCTCTTGATTTTAATTTTTGAAGTTTCCGATTAGATTTTGCCTCGAGAGTCGTGCTTGATCAAGATAATTATCTGAGAATACATCAATTACACATCTACAAAATGATAACATGCTTTTTGTTATGTTAAAAAATTTAAAAATTTAAGATTATTGAGATTGAATTTTAACGCTTAAAGTTCACGAAGATCCATCATGTATAGATAATAAAATAACGCAGTATACACTAGAAATTTTACATGAAAATTTTGAAAAAATCACGAGGCCTGACTAAGATGAAGTGATCCACTATCTAAATAGGTTACAAGAGTATGTTTTTCATTTTAATTAAAGATATTTGATAATAAAGTATGTAGCAAAATTTTATTTTTTATACATTCTAGAGATGCAGAAGTTTGATGGTCTTAGTTGGGCGATGATGGTAATTAGGCAATGGTGGTATGGAGATGTCGATTGGTTAAATGATGATAGTTGAATGATGAGTGATGATAATATAATGACAATTATGCAATAGTGTTCAGACTTTGATAGTCAGATAATTGTAGTCAGATAATGACAGTCAGATGATGATAGAAAAGCAATGACATTCAAGCAATGATGCTCAGATGACAGTAGCTAGCGGATGGTGATGGGTAGCAGTGATTGTCAGCATTAAACGTCATTTAGAACTCTAAAGTTCTTCGAATCTCCAAGTTATCTCTAAATTCAAGTCCAGGTCTCCTTCATGCGAAGAATGAAGATTTATTTATGGTATTTGTAGAGTGAACATTTTGATAAATTTAGCCAAATTTTTATAACTGCCCATCTAACGACTCATATCAAATTCTTTGATCATAAAATATTTATTCAACATTTAAATACTTTAATGACCCTAGAATCAAGTGATCTTGGGCTTATTGAATTCATCTAATTGAGCCACTTGTTTTGATTATAAGCATGTAAGAATCGGACACCATTTAGTCCTTCAATTAATGTCCCAATATATCTATCTTTTAAGTACTTAATTTGAGCTTATCTAAACTCAGATAAGATAACCTTTAGTATCTTGGATTTGTTTCATCAAGATGCTCAATTTGACTATAAATTTGTTAAAGTCAATCTACAAATATTTCCAAAAATGTTTCTAAGCATTACATTAAGCTTCAGTGCTAATCAAACAGTAGTTTCTCAACACATATCACTCTATAAAGTTTAAAGTCACACAAGTTGTAATTCGAGTAATTGTATTCCAGCACAAACTTCAATGAAAAATTTACTTGACCGTTGAGTAAAATTGGCTAGACGCAGCTCATCTTGATATGTTAGTTGACAGTTTTGACCATCAACTAAGAGGTCTTAAATTCGAGACTTACATATGTGATTTGTGTTTGAGTGACTCAATTGGCTTAAATATCCCTAAGAAAAAGAGAAAATTTGCTAGTAACCAAAATCAATTATCACCCTATCAGAAAGCCCTCATGCATAGCAGAATCTGCTTTCACCTGTCGCCCTCTCACGTTTAGGACAAATAAGCCTTTGGCCTCCCTGACAACACAAAGATTCATCTTTTGATATGCTTTTCTCTTTTTCTTGCGTGTTATGATTAGGGGTGTAAATAAGTCGAGTATTTGCCTTATCAAGTATGGCTCATTTAATCTTTAATGAGCTTGAGATCGAGCTTGAGCTCGAGATCGAACTCGATTAGTGGGCTCGAGATCGACTTGTTTAGTAAATATCAAGCTCGTTTGAGAAGCACCAACGCATGTGGTGTGTATTATTATATATAAAAAATAAGATTATATATATATATATATATAATTATATTGAGTAGCTTGATAAGCTTTCAAGTTGAGTCGGGTTGCGCTTGAACTCAAGCTCGTGTATCATATGAGCTCGATTGTAGGCTCGAGCTCGAAGCTCGATAAGCTCGGCTCGCGAGCTCGTTAACGAGTCTTGATAAGCTTTCAAGTTGAGTCGGGTTGCGCTTGAACTCAAGCTCGTGTATCATATGAGCTCGATTGTAGGCTCGAGCTCGAAGCTCGATAAGCTCGGCTCGCGAGCTCGTTAACGAG